TCCTCCGGTTTGAAGAGCATTTTCGAAAAGCTCCGTTTTCGTGACGGATTAGTGTGAACGGTAGGCTTTACTGTAGAAACAAAGCTGCGTTTTCAAATTTCTCTGGTGTAGTGTGGACGGGACCTCGAAGTTTTTGTAATAGTATGTTCTTTAATGTAAACATCGAATAAGTAATGTTCTACTTCTTTATCAGCGCTCAGTAAAAATATGTTTGTAACTATTGGATCACATCTACTGTTCCCTCATTGCCTCTTTCCTTCGTTTCTGTTGGTTCCTTCTCGTTCTCACTTTGTTAGTTTTGTCTCACCTATTACAATCGCACGTCTGATTACAGCTAACCCCCTACTCAGACGTCCGGGGAATACTCCCTTAAATGGGTTAACTAGGTATGTGCGGGCCCCAAAGGGTATGGGTTTTTAGCCATTTTGGTCATAAATAGGGTATCGTTTTTTGCCATTTTGGTAATAAATAGGGTATGGCTTTGCCTTCTGGTCTTGATATGAGTATGTTTTTAAAATGAAGCTACTTTTTCATCATTATCGAAATAACCATCAAAAGAAGCCCTTCACAAATTAGTACAAATTGTTTAACATTTGTCTGAACTAGGTAACTAATTATAAGGCAGGTCTGGGTTATTGATTTGAGGGTCAGGCAATAAATAGGGTACCGAAGTTTTGGTCAGGTCATTAACAGGTTAGGCAAAAACGCAGATTTCGGTCATAAATAGGATAAGGGTTTTGGGAAGTGGGCCGCACACCCCCACCCAATTTTTCTGGCAGTGCCCCTCCCCTCCTCTCTCTCCCCCCGGGCTCAGACGCTCGCTGGGCTTGTCACGCAATCCTCCTCTCCCGCGCGGAAGAAGGAGATTGCGTGACGAGCCTACAGAGCGAAAGCCTAGATGACTGTCACGGCCAAGTGTACCCTCATTTTTCACTCCCTCAATCGGTTAAAATTCTAACTACTGTAATTACCAAAACCGTCCTCACTGTCTTCAGATGTACTAAATATTGTGTTAAAAATGTCTTTGCGCTCTTTCTGCGCCGGGTCAACAGATTTGTCGATAGCTGTGTATGCCATCGATCCATAAGTCCGCCTCTTGGGACACCGCTTCGGACATGCGCACCTGAACTTTCTCTCGAAGAATACCACTGCTTTGTACACAGCCAGGGCGCCTGCGTGAAGCGTAGCTACAATCAACAGCACTGAGCAGACGATGTCTGTGATGCTGTTAGAGTCCTGCAGTATTTGTAGTATGGCTATCACACACAGTATGTAAAGGTACAGAGACTCCACCACATTGACTCGTGTCTTTCTGTATGGTTGGAATATGCTGTGAACTGCCAGGATCAGCGCGCACACTAAGATCGTGATAACCTAAGAGAAATCAAATTTAGTTATATTCCATTTCACATATACGATGTACTTTATGGCTATGAATAAAACCGCAGTTTCGGTTTTTGCCAGTCACGTACTAAATACCTCTCACTAACCAAGTTCGACGTCCTTACTGTAAGTTAAAGACCTAGTTTTTTCCCTTCGATTTATGGACTGTTGCGCTTGGGCCATAAATCGAATGATCCGTAACTTACAGTACGGACCGAGAAGACGAGGTTAGTAAGATATTTATTATACTGTGTGTCTAAAGGGTTCGGCAACGATTTCTATTCACGCTGAACGGCTTCAAATTTCAGACGCATCTCGAAAGCAAAACGAGTCAATTTGAAATCGTTGTTAACTTGTTAGCACGTTTTAATAAAAGATTTAAAGTAAAAGAAAGTTTTAAACTTTCACCTGCTATAAAAGTTACGAACACTTGACGATAAATCATGAAACATTTAGCCAAAAAAAAAAAACAGATTTACATTTTAAAAGACCGTACAGCAGAATACGGCTCGCTAAGTAGACCAATCACAACATGCGTAGTAACTGAGACATATAATAAGTAGTATTACATCTCGTTGCTATAGCAACAAGATGATGTGAAGCTTACAACGAGCAAGTTCTCGCTAAAAGTCTTGCATACAGTTACTGACGTTTGGTAAAACGTTGTGAAGACAACTTTGTGGAACTCACAATCCCCTTATTTGGTTACTTGAAATAGTGCATATTTTTATTCACCATACGTTTAAAGGGAACAACTTGAGTTATCTTGAAATATTACGGGAATTGAGGAAAAACACCTTACAAACTGGCAAGACGATGATTGTGATAAAAGAAGAAAGATGGCAAAATTTACCATGTTTCTTCATTCCTCAACATGCATTCATACTGAGGAGTATCAAGGACGCGTGTCACCTATGATCCTAGTTAACATGAGTCTATCCGAAGCTCAGTGGTTAGTGCGCGAGTGGTGTTTTAGAATCTCGTCTGATACAACAGTTCTTTTTTTCGTTCCGCGCACATGATCAAAAAATACATCATTATCTAGACGATGATGATCGTGACTCCACGAGTACATGGAAGCAAGAAAAGAACGATTTCTATTTCATTCATGAAATACTCACTCGAAGCATTTTTCTTCGTTTTCAAAAAGTTGTAATGAGCTAAAATCTTGGACATATCAAATGAAAAATTAAGACCACCCATCCCCCATTTCAGTGATAGAAGAAATGGCTCGTTTTCGGTGTAGCGCCAGTTCATCATTGATTCGGGGGGAGGGGTGGTTTTATTTCTTATTTTATTCTGACCAAGATTGTAGTTTTAAGTGAAAATTTTGTGTGCTTATACGAAAACTTGCACAAATGAAATTGTAAATGCAACTGCTGTCCTCGTAAGTTAGTTGTAAGTGCGAACCTCGCTCACCTGTTTTGTAAACCAGTGGGGAATGAACGAGTACGTGGCCATCAGCACTACTCTTCTCAGCATATCCACTGACCACCACCACCGGCAGTGCGGGCGCAGACCATTAATCAGCGTGTTAACATACTGTGGATCAACCCTCCAGTAACCTTTGGTCAACACAAGTACAATAACAGGCAGAGGAACAACCAGGCCAACGAGCACAGAGACGGCCAGAAACGACATTGCTAAATGTTCCCCTTTGAAGCACTCTACATTCCCGTCGTAAAAAAAGACAAGTTTTTCACCAACCCTGGGACAGTGTAACAGCATGAAGGTGGTGACAACGAGATAGTTATAAACAAACAGTGTCATAAGCCAGAACGACTGGAGGCTGGAGTGCTTGCGCAGTTTGAATCTCACGAGATAAAAGTTTGCACTCAGTACGTAAGATATTAGAAAGACTAAAAGGATCACAAACGGCATCAGGTAACCGATGGCAACCGCATACAAATTGGTCATCCCCTTTATGATGCAAATGTGTAAAAAATATACGAAGGGACTGCCAAAATTCAGTGTGTTGCCAACAAACAACACTGTTTCCCCGACAACGCTGTTCGGTTCGAAGACAAAGGGGAGTACTTGGAAGAAAAACAGGGGACCTCGAAGTTCGCTAGACATGCTGGGATTGAGTATGATGATGACGACGCACACTACGACCACGAGGATGACAGTAATGGCGATTATCCAAACACTGCTGTCACATTCCAGACACTCGTCCGATCTAAAAGAGAAATTCAAAATCGACATCAAACAAAGGAGGTAAGGATAAAGTCTACTTACGAGTCAAGTGGCTCATCAGCCTGGAGCTTATCCCGGTTTCAGTAGCATGAAGCGACCAGGAGTATTGGTACTCTCCCCTGGATAGGATGCTAGTCCATCGCAGGGTTACCCTCAGCATTAAATTCGCCGGTACCTATTTATACACCTGGGTGGAGAGAGGCACTGTTAGAGTAAAGTGTCTTGCCCAAGAACACAACACAATATACTCGGTCAGGGCTCGAACCCCGCCCGCTCTCTCCGGAGACGAGCGCACTAACCATGAGGCCACCGCGCCTCCTAAAATGAATACAGTGGAACCCCGCCTTCTGGTCACCTCGTTAATACAATCACCTCGTTATTACGGCTACTTTTATTTTTGTCCCGGCGAAACGCCCATACATCTTTTAAAGAAAATCCTGTTAAGGTGGCCACTCCGTTAATACGGCTATATATAGCTAACAGCCATACTCTGAAATCCCGACCTGTATATATTCCTTTTAATAAGGCCACTGAAACCAGTTATGTTCATTGAAGTTTCTATATTTTTATATCTCAATTCCGGATGATTATTAAAGAGCAGACCATAGTTAACTATGAACAGATCCGGGTTGTTTGAAAGGTGGATAACGCTATCCACCAGATAAATCACTATCCAGCGGATANTTGTCCCGGCGAAACGCCCATACATCTTTTAAAGAAAATCCTGTTAAGGTGGCCACTCCGTTAATACGGCTATATATAGCTAACAGCCATACTCTGAAATCCCGACCTGTATATGTTCCTTTTAATAAGGCCACTGGAACCAGTTATGTTCATTGAAGTTTCTATATTTTTATATCTGCATTCCGGATGATTATTAAAGAACAGACCCGGGTTGTTCGAAAGGTGGATAACACCGGATAAATCACTATCCAGCGGATAACGTGGTTCTTTTGTTAACATCCAGCCTTCGAACAACTGCGGCCAGATCTTTAAAAGTGCAATTTTGATAAATCTGTCACGAAAGTCACTAAAAACAGACCAGCCATGAAATTTGACCCTAACCCGTTGATACGGCCATCCCGCTAATACTGCCAAATTTTCATGGCCTGTTGGTGACCCTATTAATGGAGCTCCACTGTAAGTAAAGGAGATAATGCCTGGTTCTCAAACGGTTTGAGGTCGTTCGCTCCCACTGCCCTCATTCCCGTCAGACGCGAGTGACAGGGAGCGACTTCGGAACGGACGAGCGATTTTTCGCACGATGATGGACTTCAGGACTTCATGCCACTACTTGGTTGATTTGTGTGAAAGAAACGTCCTACAAGCAATAGCTGACAGGCGTATTTAAAGAATTCTTAAGCTCCAGTTAAGTATTACGAATAGAAGGACTATCACATTTTCAGAAGCAAGTAAAAACGCCCTATTCGGCTTTCACTACGTTACGTGAAGTATGTTATCTTCCGTACGTACACAAAATGCGTTTCCATGCTTAACACACAACTTCCTAGAGGTTTTCAACTAAGTGTCATGGACATAAAACTAAAGTTATCTCTCTGGCCAATGAAAAAGTGGCATAGAAAGTCCAGTGAACCAATCAAAATTCAATGAGTGCGAGACTACGCTCTAACCAGTCAAAATTAAAACCAAAACGAAAACCAAATGTATTTGCTTGGCCAGACTGGTAACTTTGCTCTTAGTTCTATAGAGCAGTTTTCAATTGAGCGTCGTAAAACCAAAACCAAAGTAATCACTTTAGCCAATCACAAAAGACACGGACAATCCAGTGAACCAATCAAAACTCGAAGTTATTACATGTAGCTGACGCAAAGCGCGGGAAAACGTGCGTGAGCGAGTCACGATTGGTTTTGGTTTTAATTCTGATTGGATGAAAAAGCGGCGCGAATTTTTAAACCAATCCTGTCGCTTAGTTGATGCAAAACCAATTACTTTTCGATAAGAAATCACTGTAGGAGTAAATGTTATAAAAAAATATGTTTTGTACTAACCTTAATCCTACAGTGAGCCCGTGTTTACATTTGCCACAGAGTACCCCTGTTCGGTTATGGTCACACTGATCATCAATATGATCTGGGTTGAATATACATCCGGGTAAGTCTCCTTCAGTCACGCAACGACAGTAGTTTGGTGGACAGTAATACGTTACCAGGCGACCATTGACTTCTCCACCCCAGTGCCCCTCCTTCAAATACACTGTTCGCGCATTTTCATTACATCTGTGAGTAGAGGGAATAACATAGTTAATCAAAGAATTATACTGCTGGGAAGCTAAAGGTACATGATGTGCCACCAAAATCTCAAAACGAGCACTAAAAGAAATGTATGGAAATCGGTAAGGAGAATTTATGCTTTGAGCTTAGGAATAAGGCGTCACCTTAACACTCCCTCGATCTTTTTATCACAGATACATTTTGTGTTTTCAAACTTGAATCCTGGTCGGCACGGAATGGCGGTGATTTTAAACGAGTATCTGTTCTTCAGTGTGGAGAACACATCCTCCAGCTGAAAGTGATGGACGGTGTTGTTCTTGATCTCTTTGTACAGAGTTTCGTTTGCCAGGCGGTACGTGAAGGGGAAAGACTGATTTGTGACAGGCGATAACAAGTGCATGATGTTATCTAGGCGAAGTTTGGGGGTTCCGTCAGACACACCCACTTCGGTCAAAGTCGCGATGGTGAATATTGTGTGGTTGAGTTCATCGTAACCTTGGATGTTGAGCGAGATATCTTCACCAGGCGAGACCTGCAAGCAGAGGGAAAAGAAAAGTGTCTTAACTACAATATTAAAACCTTTGACGCAAGCAAATGTCTCGCGCGCATAACACGATTTTCAAAATTTCTTGGGTCAAGTGCGCTAAGAGAGATTTCTATCACCCTGTCTCTTAAAACAGAGGAGGAGGAAGGCAGGAGGTGGGCGAATTAACACGAATACGCTTCATAGTGAAATTGTTAACAATGTTATCAGTATCCGAAGAGGTTTGTATGGGATTTTAGTTTCCACCCAACAGTAAACGATAGCGCGTTTTCGCTAATTAAAACAAGGCTTTCTCTACCACCAGTGATAGAAATGATGAATCACTGATTTTCAGCTTACCCATGTACCAAAAGTAATTATATTAAATCCCACCTTTAACTTTCTTTCTTAAATAAATCCCGTTTTCTGTCTATCTCAAGGCAAGCCCCACCCCCACCCCCACCCATTTCCAAAGAGGCGTCTGAGTCAACATCTCCATCATCTTTCGTCAAGGACAGGTAATTTAGGTATGGCTTTAGAACTATGTCATTTACTTCTTATCTGAGCTCTTTTGAATATTGTTGTTAACTTACAAAGCTCTGAATGGGCTGGCCCCCGATTACATTAGAGACCTACTGCGATTTAATATTTCTGGTCGCACACTAAGATCTTCAAAGAACAGGTTGCTTGATGAGCTTAGAGCAAATCTTAAAACGTATGGTGAAAGGGCTTTTTCCGTGGCGGCACCAAGGCTCTGGAACAAACTACCCCTCCAGATCAGACTTTCATCATCAGA